CTCTAAGGGCTTAGGGTTGTTCCACCCCTCTGGTGCTGTGGGTATTTGCAGCTCCTATGGTTTCTCTCTTGTGCTGTATTTGCTCCCTCCTTGCAGTTTTCCTCAGACAACTCATGCTCCTGGATTCTCTATCCTTCTTAGGTCTTCACTACACCTTTGGCTTCATTCATAGACATAGCTTTACACACTGCCCTCCAGCGACACATTGCTGGCCTTCTGAAATCTGGGTGGAATCTTTTTGACTCCACAACTCTTGCATTTTGCATACACCTAAACCCAGCACCACATGGATGATGCAAAGTTCTGCCAGGCTTCTTACTTTCTTGACTGTTGGTTTTGATTGCCTGAATTGATGAGTATTATGAACACAATCCCAAAAAACAAATTAGCCATGGCCATTCTGGGACAAGGTGCTCTGGGGATTTTTTTCCCAAAGGAAACTCTTTCATCTTTCCAATTTTGAGGCTGCAGTCTTGCTGGTTCTTGTGATGTCTTCAAGCCATCTTTTGTACTGTCCTGTTCTTTTTCTGTAACCAAGTTCTCTTCTGTTTTATCTTTGTAGGCCATTCCTTTACTGGAGCTTCTTTTCTGATCAAACTCAGAAAAGTTCTAATTATTCTGCCAGGCTCTTTGATTTTGATATGAACACAGATTTGATTGAAAAGCCCCGAACAATAGCAATGACACTGCCCCAACATTAGATTGTCTTGAGTCAAGTGTAAGTGCATGTACCTGCAATTCCAGCACTTAGGAGTCTGAGGCAGGAGAAGTGCTATGAGTTCTGGGTATGTCTGGGCTACATAGTGAGTTCAAAACCAGCCTGAACTACATTGCAAGACCCTGTCTCAAACAAGACAAAAGAAAAGAAAAGAAAACAATCCCACAAAAAACAGACAAAAATTAGACTGTTTTAAAATTTCTTCCACAGTATTAATTAGTCCACTGCCCTTCACTTTAGCCTCAGGCAAAGTTTGACATGAACAAAATGTAGACAAATTTCCTTCCAAAGAATAACATACAATGTTAGGAGCTTAACAGTGAATGAATGCAACCCCTCTTTCCCAACAGAAACCTCCTGATCTTTGTTTTTACTGCCAACATTTGGGTCAGCATTTCTATTTTCTGATCTTTGACCAGAATCTTCCATCAAGCACAGCTTAAAGCACTCCAGGACTGTTCCTTTAACCAGCATCTCTATACCTTTTCAAACTTCCCTCAAGCCAGTTCCACATGGTCAGGTACAGTAACAGCAAAAGCCCCACTCCTGGCACCAAAATCTATCCTACTCACTTTATTTGTTGCTGAGATAAAACACCCAAATCCAAAGTTAAAGTAGGAAAGGTTTATTTTGGCTCAATTTCTAAAGGTTTTGGTTCATACTCATCTGGCTCCAAAGCAGGGTGGCATGGCAGAAGGGCATTACAGAGGAGAAACAGTTAATGGCAAAACAGGGCTGGCAGAAGGAAGCAAAGCAGCAAAATACAAACTAGCTTCTTTCTGATGCTCTGTATTACATCCAGGCTACCCTTTGTGTAGTGCTACCCACATTCAGGATGGGGTACCCTTAATGCCAGCGTCACAACCCTAATCCAACCATCTTTGAAAGTCCCCACCAAGACCATATGAGGCTTTGGGTTGGACATCTAAATGCAAGCTATAACACCTGGTATTCAAAATGAGAGGGAAGAAAGTGAAAGGTAGAAAGAGGAGAGATAGTTTGACAACGACTTTAAATAGCTGAAAAGGAAGTCTGTTGTGTCCCAGTCTCACTGTTCATTGTCTTTGTGCTGAAATTTCTGTGATTTTTGAACTGTAAACCTGGCTTAATACTTTTACCTGTTCCTTTTTACTGCTTGGGGAGAGACAGCAACAGAAAGGATGGGTTTTAACCCTCCTGTAACCTGCTTTAAGACAGCTAATAGTATTTCCATTAGTAGTTTGGGGGAAAGATGTGTCACTCAGGGATTAGAAAAATTAAGAGACTTGCCTAGTACTCTACAGCAGGTCTCTTACAAAGAAGTTTAAATTCTTCATCTTGGCCACCCACATGAAACAGAACTATGTCCACCTATTTCAAGATTTTAAATTTAAAGTCTTACTGTCTTCTCCAGCAATATCCTGAATATGATATGTCTTCAAAGAAGATTAATATGAAAATTCATCTAAAATGTTGGGAATTGTGCTTTTAATTCCTTTGGCCTAGCTTCTCATTCTATGTGATAGATTTCCCTTGCTATTGAAGAAATTGATAAGCCAGGTGTGATGGCTCAGCCTGTAATCCCAGCAACTCTGGTGGCTGAGGCAGGAGGATCATTGCAAGTTCCAGACCAGCCTGGGCTGCAAAGTGAGTGCAAGGTCAGCCTGAACTGCTTGGTGAGATCCTCTCTCAAAAAGACAAAATGAATAAATACATTTTTTAAAAAGGGGAAAATGAACAGTCCATAAGAAAGATTACTCTGGACCCCCTGAGTTGTGTACTAGTTGGTTCTCATATTCTGAAAGAGTAAACTGTTTACTTATGATTATTTTTTGGATGTCTCAGTCCAAACTCTTCATTTTTGGCTCTAAGGATTCTTTTTTCTGTCAGACTTTGTTTCTTTATCTGCAAAATGACAAAGCCTGCTTTGTTCATTCTATAGAGATTGGGAAGTAGTTTGTGGGGGAGACAATAACCATTTATTAAATATCTGTTACTTGCAGGTACCATGATGATAGTTTTATGTATCATGAGTTATCAATATTCCCAACCCTGTTTGACTGGTGGTATTACTTCCATTTTACTGAAGAGAAAGTTGAGGCTGAAAAAAACTTCTCTGCCCAAAGATCACACAGAGAATAATAAAACAAAATAGCATTTGACCCTAGAGCTCTCTGTTAAATGTGCTTAACCCTTTCACTATCTGGTCTTGTGTGAGCTGGTGTTCACGAAAGCCCTTAGTAAAATTTAATTATCCAAACATTTCAAATGTTTTTCTTCAGCCTTTTTTCCTCTAGGTGACTTGTTCTCCATTTCATTCTTTTCTTTCTTTCTTTCTTTTTTTTTTTTTTTTTTTGACTATTCTTAGGTGAAATATCACTTTCCCCTAGGATTTGTCTATTTCACAGAGTACCACTTCTCAATATCCCTCTTAAAATGTAGCAATTATAGTTGAAAGTCATTCCCACAATAACTTGCATTTCATGGTGCTTCTCCAACTAAATGAATGTATGTTCCACCAGTTTTGGAGTCTAGAAGACTAATTGTGCTTGAGATAAGTAAGTCAGTGTAGAACATGAGTTCAACTTCCTTTAATTAATTAATTAACTAATTTACTGTGATAATGATTCAGTCTAGGGCATTTTTCTTTCTTACTTACTATCTTTCCTTTTTTCTTTCTTTCAAGACAAGATCTCACTATGTACTTCAGACTGGCCTTGAGCTCACACTTATCCTCCTGCCTTCAGGGTCTTTGCACTGAGTTGTATCTCCAGACCTTACTATTATTCTTCTTGTTGTTATTATTATTTTGAGACAGGGTCTCTCTTAGTTGCTAAGTTGCTCAGGATGAGCTTGAACTTGCAATCATCCTGCCTCATCCTCTCAGGGTGTTCAGTGTTTACAAGCAGGATAGGAATAGTCTTTTTTGGAACTGCAATGGCACAGTAAGTTAGTGCACAGTACTTACACATAAATGATCTCTTTTACCTGAAGAGTTAAACTCTAAAGTAAAATTGTCAAATGTTGAAGATACTGAATGGAAGTAGTACTGTCACCATGAACTCCATAAATTTATCTGGGACTCATTCTCATGCTGGCCAAATATAATCCAGGGGCCAAATATAATGACAAGGCTAATAAAAGAAGCCAGACAGTGTCATTTTTTTCAGATCTTAAAGTTTTTCTGGCTCTAAATGAAAAGAATATCACTATTTTTATTTCCTTTACTATTGCCTTGTTTTTCTATTTTTGTCCAAAATCAAATAAAAAGATGTTTTCTATTTCACGTAAGACTGATTTTCTCTTCAGGAATAGTTGAGAAAAAGTTATATGCATTAACAGATGCCTAATATATTTTTCTGTTAAAATGTCATTCACAACAGCAGTGTGAACTCAATAACTAAGGTAGTGTGTCTATCATTTCCTTCATGCTATTTAGAATAGATGTAGTTCCTTCATTCATGTTTCTATTAGATAATTCCTTGTTTTTATTTGCTCATTATCTATCTGCCCTCCCCTGTAATGAGAATTCTAGGCCTCATTTTGTTAGCTGAAGTGCACAGAAAACTGCACATAATAGGCACACAACATTTGCTTTATGTAACCCATTTTTGAAGACAGCCTGGTGGTGTATTATTGTAAACCCAGCACTGTTTTGTTGATAAAGTAATAAGGTATGTGGATTTATTTTGAAAGAACTAAATTGCGTGATTATGGTGTCCTTTTTCAAAAGTTACATTGTTCATGTGTTTTCTTGAGTAGCAGAGCTAGAGGAGGAATGTCAGGACTTGTTCTTGACTCTGAATACCGAAAAATAAGTATGCTGAAAAAAATCACTGCGATACATTCTCTGGAGGCACCTTTTGTGTCTGCCACCTGGGCTAACAGCAGTGAGATAAAAAGAAAGGAGCCACCATGGACTGCACCTGTGAGACCTCATTTCCTAGGCTGACCTGTTAAGTAGCTTTAGGCCAAAGTGTGCATCTAAGGCTGATGAATAGGTGGGAAACAGTACCAGCCTCTGGGCATGTGCTGTATGCAGGATGATCTTAGCAATAATGTTTGCATTAAAGGAAGAATTTATAGAAAACTCTTGTCCATGTTGAATAATTTAAGATTGCATCTCTTTTCTGACTGTGTGGATATGTGTGCTTCTTTGCTTACATTGCAAAAGAAGTTTGGGACCAGTGTGGATTCTGGTTAAAAAAGCCAAACTATCAATGAGGACAATAACATTTACCAATGTCATGGAAAAATGACCTATCAATAATAGTTAAAATAATCTAAGAGTTGACAAGGATAATTTGATTTATTCTTGTGAAGGATTTATTTCTTAATATAAGTCCAATAAATGTAAAGTATCAGAGTGCCAATACTCCCATAGCACATGTACTTAAACACCAAAAATTTTCATTAGGAGACTATATATCTGCTTGTGGGTTCAATAAATAGACTTGAAAGTATTTTGTTTTATAGTCATACATTTTATTACAAATTTATTTTGTATCCAGTAGAAAAGCAGATTTGGAACTTATTTACAAGAACTATATATTTACACGTATACAGTTAATGCATTTAAAGGAAATGGGCAGAAAAACACAATATATATGGAAGTCTATGCCACTGTACATAGTTTATTATCTTTAATGTTACTGAATCTTTACTGTAATAAATACAGTTCTATATTTACACATCTTATAAAACATCTCATAAATGTATTTTTTCAATTCAGAGTTAAAACATTTGATCAAAATAAACATGCTTATACAAAAATAAATCTACCTACCAACCTTTTTGTTTGGGTGTAATGAAGCTAATGTAGGGTAGTAGAAGTTAAGAAATAAATCTTTTGACTCTTCATATTTGATAATTTGTTTTTAAAAATATCTAACACATGTATTACTATGGAATAAGCAGAGAAGTAATATTCCTCATATCAAGTGGTACATTCAGAAAGAACATGGCTGAAACTAAGCTAAATAAACAGGATAGTATGTTACCAAATCCTGCTGAGTCCAAAGTGGTGTCAGACATAGTTGCTAAAATTCTAGAGATATATGTTTGAGAAGTTACATCAGTGGACTTAATTTATGTCATACCTGTATCTGATCATTATTTTAACATGCACATGAATTTGAGTTAAAACTTCTTGCAAAGATGTGCACTTAGGAATAGAATATCCCACATTATTATCTTTTCTAGGTTATGTTCACTGCCAGCAATGAACTTTCTTTCTAAGCTTTGGACAGAAAAAGAGTTAAAAATGAATGAGACAAGACAAAGTTCACCAGTACATGATTGCCTTAGTAGCAACTTAGGAATTTCTATTAATTTTCCTTTCAAGATATTTGTAGCCCATTTTATTCCCTGGAGGGAGGAGAACATGGGACTACTGAGTGTTGAATCATAAAATATGGTATCTCTAAAAATGATGTGAATATGAATGAGTTAATGATGTCTTACATTCATTACCTATGAAAGACATGGTGGCTTGAATGCATTCTTTCCAGGGAAAAGCAATAGAAGACTAAAACATCTCTGCTTGGTCACTAAAATGAAATCTCATGGGTCACAACCTTTACGTAGTAATGCAGGCCATTTAAAACCTATATCTTTTTAACTAACCATCTTTTAAGAAATTTGATGGTTTAAGTATACCCATTTTTTTTTTCTTGGTCTTTTTTGTTTTATTGGTACCGGGGATCGAACTCACAACTGCCTGCTTGCAAGGCAGGCGCTTATGCCGCTGAGCTAAATCCCCAGCCCCAAGTAAACCCATTTTTGAAGTGAATTCTCCCACCCTAAATGATTACATTGGTGAGCTTAGGGAAAATGAATTAAAGTCAGGAAGAATCTTGTTTGTAGAAAATTTCAGTATGTGTTTTGGATACGGGGGACATAAATAATGTGACTGATCTGTGTGTTAGCTGAATGAATTACACAAGCAGCGTTTAAATTTATATTTCACTCTCAAGTATCAATAGGTACCAGCTTTTTCACATTGAGAGAGATATTTTGACTGTTTAAGCTAGTTTCAACTCAGTCATCTTAGCTACTGCTCTGACGTCCTCAACCCCACATGTTCAGGTTCCTGGTATTTGAAAACCTTTCCCTTCACATGTTAATTAGAGACATGGGACAAATGCCACAGATGAAAGATGACAGCTTTCAGTCATCGGATAGGCTGGTGAAGTCCCAGAATTAGAAGGCAGGTCGTAGGCTATGCTAGCACTAGTAAAGGTTACCAAGGCTTGGGTTGAGTCACAGGATTGTTTCTCGACATCATCAGAATTAATAGACGTCAGGCTTGGGTGTTTTGATTTCATCCAAAAGTGGCTTTGCTTTCCCATACTTCCAAGGTCCTCCTTAAAATGGGGATTGAAGAGAATGTAGAGAAGAGGATTGAGACAAGCAGGAAGTGGGACAATCACTAGAAGGATAAACTTAATTATGTCAGGACTGATAAATGTGAGATTTAGTAAAGAGGAGAAAGACAAGAAAGCCACAGGGCAGTAAAGGATACAGTTGGTGAAGAGCAACAGAGCAATGTGTTTCACCATGGAACAATCCCAAATATTCTCTAGGTCTCCTTTCTCCAAATTACAGTAGAGCTTGGTGTAGGCAATGGTCATGATGAGGAAACAAAGAGAGTTGAGCAAAACCAGAGCTACCATGTAGCCTGTGGTGCTCGGCTCTCCAAAAGGCAGGGGCAGGCAGAGTGGAGAGGCACTGTACTCACTGCCACCCAGCAGGGGAATCAAGGCAATGGTCAGAGCCAGCACAACACAGAGCAAAATGATTGCTTTCAGGGTACAGAAAGGAGTTTTCATTTCAAATTTTGTAGAACACTTTACAGAGAACCCACGCTCCAGGGCTGCCAAAGTAAGCAGGAAAACAGATGATTCGGAAGCAAAAATGGACAAAAAACCAATGACTTGGCAACCAAAGCCATTCTCCCACCATGCACCATGTTGTGCAAAGCTGCCAAAAGTGAAAGCATCCACGCCAGCCAGTACAGTGCTGGAGACTCCCATGAGCATGTTCGCCACTGCGATGATTCCAATTAACAGTTTTATGGAGGAAATGTACAGAGAGGATCTGAACACCGTTGAGGTCACCACGGCATTACAAGACAGTGCCAGAACTGCTATGGTCCACACTCCGATTCTGATCAGCCAACTGCCGAACAGGTGGTCACAGGGCTTGAAGGGACCTGAAAATCCAAAGGGAAAAGGTTGTCAAAATAGAATTAGCGATTTTACCACATAACCTTTTTGTTTCTTTGGTAGGACCCCAAGAGAAAGAGCCCAGAAAGAGCCCTCATAACCCACAGCACCATGTGTCATGCTGTGCTTTCCCACACTGTCATGGATCACCTTGAAGTTTCTGTATCACTGGCAAAGTGAGCACATCAGATGATTGGCTGCCAGAGCATACGCAGAGAAATGAAAGAGGGGAACTTCTGTTGCCGGGTTGTAGTCCCCAAAATACAACAGTGTCAGGCTCACAGAATCAGATCTCCTAGATTTTTCATTATATTTATACAATGCTTTAATAAAGTTTCATGGAGAGAAAAAAAAAATCCTAGGACATATTCCATAGTAGTATAAAATGAAAATGGGTATTAGGAATGTATATTTCATGAAAACTTCATCTTTTTTTCTTTCTTTTAGATTAACATTAACTGTTAAAGAATGCTATCATTTGGATCTTAAATGTCCCCCAAACACCCACATGTTAAGGTCTTGGTCCCCAACCTGTGGCATTCCTGGGAGGTGATGGAACCTTTAGGAAATGTGACCTAGAGGAATGAAGTTAGATCCTGGAAGGTGTGACCTGGAAGGGGATATCGTGACTCTGACCTCTCCTTTTCTGTTTCTTTGCTGCCGGTAGGTAAACAGGCCTCTTTCTTCCTATGTTCTTGTTATGATGCACTGAGTTGCCAATATGACCAAGTGACCATGTCTAAAACCTCAAAACTATGAGCCAAAACAAATCTTTATCATTTCTCCATTTTGTGGAGGAGGAGGGAGTATTGGGAATCGAACTCAGCATCTTGTGCTTGCCAGGTGGGTGCTTATGCCTCTGAGCCATTTCCCCAGCCCCATCTTTCCCATTTTGAAGTTTATTAGTTTGCTGTAGTAACAGGGCTCTAACACAGAGAACATGGACCAATCTAATTTTCAAATGTGAAGTATCAACTATTCCCAACAGTTTTCTTCAATCTGCTTCTGGGAATGGGTCAATTAAGTGAATTCAACAGTTTATCTGTCTGTCTTTATTTTTTTCAACTTATCTGTACAAACTATTATTTGCTTTTGCTGAGGATACAGAGAAGACTTAAATCACTTTCATTAATCAGTGATTGCATAAAGCAAGACTAGAGCTAAATCGATAATATTTCCTTTAAAAATTACATATACTTCTAAATATATACTTGATTCTTTAGTTTCTGTTAGTCTGAGTGAAAACTCCTCCCTGTTCTATTCTATTTGTGAATGGAGAGCAGCCTCAGGGATTGAACACTTAGTTATATTTTGCAGATCCCTGTGGGAAACGTGCAGATCTGCAGCAGGACAGCTGGGTTCTGAAAGGCAGTCACGCTCTCACTGGTGGCCTCAGTCAAGAGTGGCTGCTGTTGCTGCTGACCCAGTTCCCATGCCTCTCACCTGGGGAAGGTGAACACTGCACGGAGTGAAGGGCTTTCAGGTCTTCTTCAAAGTCGAGCAGGAAATCTTCAAGATCACGCTCATCTGCAGGGAGGAAAAGTCCTGAGATGATTAGTTCTGTCTCTTCTCAAGCGATCAAATCCCAGTGAGGAAGTTTCGGGTTACTCTTGACATAGGAACTGTCACAAAGGGAAATGGAAGCAAGATTCTGTGCTTTCCTAGGGCAGTGGCTTTCTTCCAAGTCTATTACGAAGTTGGCTTTGGATATTTTACTCAAGGCACTGTGCCACAGTATTCCAGCTCAACTGGGGTGAGCATTATATAGTGAGACCCTGGCTCAAAACAAAACATCCAAACAAAAAAACCAAACTTCTGTGCAATTCTAACACGGGGCCTTGAAAATAAACTCATGCAAGTGTTACATCTCTTGTTATTATGTACTTCTAGAGTCTACTGTAGTACTTGGCACATACTAGTAGGCACTCTCTTTTTGTGGATGAGTGAATTATAGTAGAAATTAGGGTGGTGATACAAAAAGAGGAAAAAACAAACTAAAATCTAAAGCAAGAACAAGAGCAAGACACATGTGGCCTTAAACAAAGAAAGACAAGATACGGCTCCTTCAACAGATACGTATCTGAAGATGGACTGAATCACACTTGCTTTAGAGTCAACAAATCATTAAAGCTCAAAGATCAAGAAGCCATTCTCTCTAGACCCTGCACAAACTCGCAGGGTTGGCAGGGAAGGAGGGGTGCTGCCCGAGGCACCTCGTCATTACTACAGGTGTGGTTGTCTGCATTACTCTCTGTTTAAGTAACGTCTTACTTCCAGGGCCTCACAGACATTATCTCATTTCACCTTCCTGACAGATACCCCTGTAGGGGATAGAAAGGGAAAATGATTTAGAATTAGTTGGAAAACAAAATGAATCTTAAAGCCTTTTTGCTGAAATATGGAAGAATCTACAATATATATATTCTCCACTCTCCCCAGGCCACAGGAATAAAAATGGATTTTGTCTTCTGGAGAAAAGCTTTCAGAAGCATGTTTAGAAAATTTATTCACAAGGATGGGACTCCTTTAAAGGTTTATGGAAATATTGATGCAAATAATTATCCTGATGACAACATATGCTAAGGAGGATCTACTTATAAATATAATGAATTCACTAACAGAACAGATGAAATTGTAGAATAAATCCTGAGAGAGCTTTCTTATTCTGTAAGTCTTTAAAAAGTGAGATTGATTCTCAACGTGCTGCAGTGTTTGTAAAAGGACAAGCCTGGAATTCAGATAATCTGTTTGATGAGTTTTCAAGACCCTTCCAGGAATAATGTCATTACTATGACATAGCAGGTTTTACCTTGAACTTGAAACATTCCAGCATCTTTCTTATGAAAGTAGTCCACACTGCTGTTATCACCTTTATTCCACTGATTAGCAATTTTATAGATGTTCTCACATACTCCAAATGCACAGCACTGGTAAGCATAAGGCATTTCTATAACCCTTTAGAGGGACATAACCAAAACAAAAACCCCCATACATTTAAAAAGATTGGTCATTAAATACAGTGTTCATTTTATTTTTTCAGTCAATGACTTTATCTTAGAGTTTTAACCTAAAGAATCCAAAATAAATTATATGTCTAAATACAATGAAGTTATGAAGAATCATTATCATGAAATGCTGATAATTAGTGAAGCTGCTTTATACAATTCTCATTATTAAAAAAAATACTAAAGATATTCATAAGAATAGTTAAAAATGACCCCTAGGAAAATTGTAGCAACATGGTGACATAATGTTAAATGGCTAAAATATGACATTAATATCTATGAACACTTTGATTCTAATAATTAAAAATAAATAAAGTCTACAAAGAAAAGACATAAAAATATATTTTTCCTTATCTTCTACTTTCCAAGCTATGTTTTGAAGTTATATTACTTTCATGCTTTTAAATGTACTGTGGTTTAAAACACATGCACACATTTATAAACATATTTATACATAAAAACTTTCATACTTCTTTACTGTAATAAACAGCAGGTTTTAAAGAGCATTACTTCCTCAAATATTAATTTACTATATTTTATTAGAATATACACACAAGATACATGACTTAGAAACTATAAACAGGACTATAATATTGTTATGATGTTATTTAATTACATGTCCTAGTTTATATCTCATGGATCAGTGGTTTTCAAACTCTTTCCATGAACTCTGTTATTCTGGAAGACATCTTTGAGAGGAAAAGGAAATGTGGTCAGGAACACACATTCTCCTACTTCAGGGAGTGGGGGACTTGAGGGCATGAAATGCAATTCAAAAGGGTCTCATGACCTCATAAATTTAGAAAACCACTGTAACGTGTCTATTATTTCACATGACCACAAATGTATCTTATTAGTTTTAATGACAAACTCACTTGAGTTCTGGAAAGTTTTCAGATGATATCAAGCTCTGTAAGGCATGGTTTCCTGTTAATTTTAAGTGAGTTAAACCATGTAACCCAGTTACAGGAAAAGATGACAGAAGGTTGGATGATAGGTCCCTGCAAAACATCAAACAACGATTGGCTTTTAGTCTGTGCTAGCATAAAACATTTATGTCAAGAAAAAAAAAACAAAAAACAAAAAGAGCAACCTAAAGTTGATTAAATTACTCAATAAAATCTTCTAAGTAGGGTCCTTACTCTTATTTGTAAAAGTAATTATTTTGGTTTTAATTCTTAATAACACTTCTATTTAAAATCAATGCTAGGGGGAAAGTTTCAATTTCATATGAATTTTTCTGTATTTGGCTTCATTTGGTGAAGTGGGGACCACTGAAATCAAGAAGAAGCTGCTACATTTATTTGAAAAGTGAGAGGAATCAGAAGAAAAAGTTTTGGGGATTATTTGCGTCCTTCTTCCCTTAGGTTCTCTCTGAACAATTCCTTATTTCTTTATAAATAAGAAAGAGGAGGAAGAAGATGAGATGGAAGAAGGAAGGGGAAAAAAAGGACAGGAGGGTTTTCTATAGGTCAAGAAGGTAAACAATAAAATGAAAGCCCTTCAGAACGGAATTACATCTGATTCCATCCCACCTGGTTATCAGCAAAAATGGACAACTTCACTTGATTAAGCAGAACCAACTGTCACTCAGAGCTTCAATCATCCACTTCAAGGCCTGCATGGCACCAGGACCCCCTCCCTTGCTTGAACAGAGTTCAGTGTGTGCAAACACTGACGGTGGGTGGACTGCACCATGTCTCCAGTAAAATCATGTGTATTAATCAGGTGACCCCAATTATTAAAAACATGCCAGATATAAAATACTCACAGCTTTACCAGAGATGGCAAAGTAGCAAATGCATTGGGGTGAATAATGTCAATTTTATTCCAAGCTAAATTCCTATTTAGAAAGAGAGAGAATTATATAAGCAATGAAATATACATGAGGTTTAATCAAATGCATTCAGTCTTCTACCACATTTAATTTCCATTCAGATCAAGGACAACTAGTTCATCAAACTGCCCATAAGATAAAGGGTGAAAAACAAGGAAAGAGGGGGTTTAGATTAACCTCATTAAAGTATTCAAGGAGAAGTCATTTAGGAAGATATTTTTAGTTTTATTCTCTTCTTGTTAAAAGGTTGACTTTAATATGGCTGTAAAATTTTATTAGGGCTTTTCTAAAATGTGTGGGGGTAGGAGAGTGGTGAGAGACAATATTCTGAGGCTCTTAAGACAAGCAAGTAAATTTTAAATCTTAAAATGTCCTTGATAAATAATGAAACTCAGCCAAGAATTCGTGCACATCATGTATATGTCAGCTTTTGAAAGACACTTTCAAGATCATTCCCATTAAACAATATTAACAAGTCCTTAAGCAGAACATAAATAAAGTGGGGACAGACATATGTTAGAAATAAAGTCCTTTGATAGCAAAAAACCCTACATTTTATGGAGAAATAAAATTCATTTGCCACACACAGTGATATGTAGACAATTTAGTAGGAATTAATTTTTTTTGCAAGAACTTCTGTGGATAATTAACCAGAGATAAGGGCTTCTATGTTTTAAAAAGAACTATGAATTTTAAGGTTTTCATTTTTAAAATGCCTAACAAACCAGGGTAACCAAGATGCAGGCGTTAGAAAAGTTGAAAGTACTTAAAGTTAACTTGTCCTAGAGATTGGTAAGTTTACGACATTGGGCCCGCAAGTTACTATGAATAATAAAATTGATAGAGTATTCACATTCTCATATAAATGGTTTCTTAGGGACGTGTCCTCTTTGCTTGGAAAAAAACTGGAGGTCTTTTAGCTTTGATCTCAGGGCAGAAGATAGCAGGTAAAAATGGGAGGAAAGCCTGGAAGGTGGAAGCTACAGGGTCATCTGGGCTTTGGTAACAGCGCAAGGAGACTGTCTTCAGGGAATTCACACCTACTGAGGTAAGCAAGCAGTATCATCTCTCAAAACTTGTTTGGCAGGTTTAAGAAGGACACATATGCCAGAGGTGAACCTCACAGAGCAGAACATCTGGAACGGAGGTCACATCTTTCTGTGGGGCTTCCTCGTGAGTTCACTCCCAATGTCTTAAGTATATATGAAAATGTGTATGTGTAAAGGATGCTAATGGCTTTGCAGTGTGTGAGCATGTGATCCAGAGCCCTCCCAGCAGCCCTGGAGGAGTCATTGTCTGCTTTTCTGTGCCACTGTGTTTGGCTTTCTAATGAAGGCCCCACAAGAGGGGGCAACTCTAGGCCCTCACGGGCTGTTCCTTTGCTGTTTGGGAAGCTCATCTTTGACACCACTTCAATCATGGCATCCCTCTCCCTGGTTAAGTACTTTCTGTGTTGTGTTCTGGAAACGCCATTCTGTCTCGGTCATTGTGAGGCTTCCGGTTCATGCACACCTATCCCTTGCCCGCCCCCCCCCCCCAAATGTGGTTGTTCCCTGTTGGAACCAAGTGGGGTCGATTCAGTTTCTTTCCAGGACCATCACTGACACACTGTAAAAGGCTAAAAGCTTCTAACAACAACAACAACAACAACAACATCATTACATAATTACTGTGTACCAAGAGTAATTTTGAATTTTTTACACACTGTCTCATAACCCTTGACACAACCCTAAGAAGTAGGTATTATTATCATCCCATCTTGATTGATGAGGTAACGGGAACATATGTGTGAGAAATCAGCTACCCAAAGTCACAAATAATCTCAGGAGCTGGATTCAAAATTACTTGTTTTACACTTTCTGTAATTTTGATTTAAATTTATAAATTTATAAATTTAAATTTATAAATGGTTCCAGAGCCCTTGAACTTTTGGTTTGAACACGTTTGGATTCTTAAGTAAATAATGACGGAGTACTGTACTTGACCCTGGAGATAAAAAGATAAAGTTCTTGTTTTTAGATGGGAAATGGTCTGCTTGATGACAGTGCTGAGTATTAAGTGCTGTAACAGAGACTGTGCACAGTACATCAACATAGAGTAAGCCAGGGGCTGGGGATTTAGCTCAGTGGCATAAGCACCTGCCTTGTAAGCAGGCGGTCGTGAGTTCGATCCCTGGTACCGATAAAAATGAAAAAGACATAAAAACAAAACAAAACAAAACATAGAGTAAGCCAAAAGACATGATATTGTTCTGGGAGACTAGGGCCATAGTCACGGATTGCCAGGAATTCAACAGGCAAAGGGGATGGGAGAAACAATGGCCCCTGTATCAGGGGACTGGGACTGCACAGAAGAGAAATGACATTGAGCCCGGAAAATGGAATAGGAGTTTGAAAAGTGGTTCTGGGAAATGTAGCCTTGATCTTGAAGACAGAAGAGGAATAACAGAAGATTTCAAAAGCAGGGAAGTAGTTGATGTCTATGTAAGAAAAATGGTTTTATATCTCTTTGAGAGTGAGATAAATGGAGGCCAGTAGTAGGAGAATGGTGATTACAATGGCCTGTGGTAGAGGAGTGGAGAGAATGAAGTTGGTAGAATCAATTGAGCAACTGCACATGAAGTCAAAGGGGAAGGAAGGATTCAGAAAGAGTCCTCTGCAGCCTTCACAATCGGTCACTTCTTGTGGTAACCTTAGAGAACAGCCCGTTAAAATAGAACTGACAGAATCCAGTTTAAAAAGGCAAAATAGCTACAAATAAATTTAAATCAAAATTACAGAAAGTGTAAAACAAGTAAGTTTGGAAAAAGTTGGTTCTCAAGGTAAATTTTTGGAAAACAGTGATTCTGAAAAGTAAATTCAAAAGGCTTTCAGAAGTAGTATTAGTTTATCAACTATTAAGAATTACTTTAGAGGGGCTGGGGATTTAGCTCAGCAAGCAGGCAGTTTCGATCCCCGGTACCGGAAAAAAAAGAAAAAAAAAAGTGTAAAAAAAAAAAAAGGAATTACTTGAGAAGTCACTGAGAGGAAAAGGTTGCTAACAAATATAATTTCACATAAGCATTACATGGCATCAACATTACATGTCACCTTCAACAAAATCACACTGAAATCCAATTTCAGTGTATAAAAGTGTTTAACCTATTTAATAAAGTGATGTTACTAAGCTTTATCTTTTAAAATTTAAAAAGTTACTTACTTAATTAAATAATAATTAATAGAGGTTCTAGAGATCAAACCTAGAGCTTTATGCACACAAAGCATAAAATTAAATCTCAAAAAATTTAATCTAATTTCTTAATTTCAAAAATAAGCAATATTTTCGTCATAAAACAAAATAATAATGACTCTTAATTGCCAGAACAACAGAAACATTTTGAAGGACAGCTGTGCTCAAACCTTAGTGGGCTTTTAAAATGCAGATGTCCAGGCCCCCTTTGAGGCAGGTGAAGGCCTGGAGGCTGCTTTTTCTCATGGTCACCACTAGTTGATTCTTAAGCACTCTGAGACACACAAGGCTCTCCTCAACGAGGAAAGAAAAGCAGGCAGGTTACAATTATACAGTCATCCTGGTTTTGTTTGCAAGCTGACGCCTGCCCATTCCAGGTTGTGGATAGAATCGCCCTGGGTGGGCTCTTCAATTAACTCGGTCTCTCTTCCTCTTCCACAAAGTCTCTTCTGCTATGTCAGCCGACTGGCAGAAAGCATAACTGCGCATTTATTATTTTTCAGTTTATTCCTGGAAATTATCTGGAGCAAAACACTTGCCTTTTCACAGCAAATATATGCACAAAGGTCCAACAGTACGTAACAAAAGGAAAATACTAGAGGCACCCCCAGAACTGAGTGCCCTGGGTTGCGGCAGGTGCTGGGAGGCGGTACTCACAGAGACCGGAGGCTAAGCAAGTGCTGGAAAGTATCCACTTTAACTTCATAGATTTCATTATGTCTGAGGTCACTGAAATGACAGAGTTTCAAAGATTGATTTCAAAGTCACTGGTTTCAAAGATTGCAGACTTCAGAGAAGTTTCACAAAGGGATCACCTGCCCTCAATCAAAGGAACACACAAAGTAGGACCAAGTGACTGGTTTTTGTTTAAAAAATGTTGCAAGTTATAAACTTAAATAAGTAGTCCCTGTTAATCGGCTAGTTCTCCTGGAAGGATATAAAACCATATTCTAAACACAACACTGTCATTCAAAACATTACGACTCCTCTACTGGCATGGCTTTCTGAACCTTTCTTGTGTTCCTTGAAGACTTCAGGTATGTCAAATCTTCACCTTTTAAAATATAGATTTACTTAGTTTTTCTTTTTTAATCACCCAAAGACTTTTAGAGAAAAACAAAGTACAGAAAGGTAGATGGTTAACGTTGTCTTGATGAAAATGTGTGATTATAAAGCAATAAGGCTGATAAGTTTTGTGGGAGAGGCAGTTTTAAGGAGAGAATTCAAGAATGTTCCGTGCGTAAGTAATGTTCACCGCAACTCAAATATGACAAACACGGTACCTCCTCTAAAGATGATTATTGTGAAACAAACACACCAACAAAGTCATGTCCACTGATAGTAAAAAATAACACTACTTATTGATATGTAAGGTTGGTTGCAGCTGCAAAAGAAGAAAACTTCCCCAGCTCAGACAACTCAGTTCACTATTACCCTCGCAGGAGAAAAACACAGATACCTTGTAAATGTTTTACAGTATGTTTCCAGTACAGTAGGAGGCGTGGTGAAATAACACTGTCTGCTCTGCAACTTTACTCTACACAGTCACACCTTACTTGTAAGAAGGAAAACATCAAGTCTGGCCAGTGAACCACGGGATAAGAAATCAGTGACCTGCAGAAATGTGTTTGGGCTCTTGGTTTTTGCTAGGTGACTTAGAGATACAAAAACACGTACATTTTCTGAAGCTTTTGGCAAGCTGAAAAGCTGGGCAAGTCTTCTACTAGGTTGTAAGACAGATCCCTGAAAAACAGAAAGTACAAAAAGGGAAAATATGTTACATAGTAAGCAAAGCTGCCTTTTTCTTCCGAGATGGCATATCCCCCAAGCGCTGACTCTGGGTATTTCCACAGCCCTGATAAGGATCAGGTAGTCACAGGCATTACTGGATTAGGCAATAGATTCAAATGTTTACTGAAATGCAACCATTATAATTCTTTAATTGATTTAAATAATTTAATGAATTTCTTAATAATTTAAATTTGTCAGTGACGGCTTATGATGTTCTAGATATTATCTTACTGAAATGATTATGCCTTTGTCCTTAAAAGCTGCTACATCTCTGTAATTAAGAGAAGTCATTCTCAGTTCTTTTCTAATCAACTTAAAAACAAAATCCAGCAGTTCAAAACATAGCAGTAACTTTGAAATCAGTCACTGAAAGGAGTAAGAAAGTCTTCAGCTAAAACTCAACAAATTACAGAATAACAAAAACATCTGGACATATTTATAGTATAATGCAACAAATCTAAAACAAGCCATGGTAATTTCCAGAATGTTAGAATAACTGGTAGATAAAGTAACATAGATATCCCTATCTATAAAACCTTGTCTCATGTTTTAAAAATTATCAGCTAATCAACTAACACATTTTCATGCCTGATTCTAATTCTTAAAACCAAATCACCACTAAGTAACTGAGAAATCTAGTTTTGTAAAAGCCTTACACTTTTTCTATTCTTATAATTGATTTAGTCTACACTTATTAAATAAATATTTATCTTGAAGAAGAGTTTTGTTCCTATATTTAGGTTTGTATTTGTGAATGAAGCTGTTTACAAATATGAATTCAGCATTTTATGCTAGAGATTTTAAATATCACTCCCCAAACTTTCAAACAAAAAAGAAACCCACAAAAAATTTCTACAACTATACAGTTGTACACTTGACTAACAATGTGATGTTTTTGGAAATTAGTAAATGTATTAAGATAGACACAAATGTTATGAAAGATCATAATGATTTGATTCGTTCTTCTCTACAGGCTGCAAAGCAGTCCAGTGCCTTCTTATGCAAACCTTAATAGAAAGCCACATAAAACCTTCCACATAAGGATATTAGTGCTCCTTCTATCTGCCTTCTACTTAATAATTTTCCATGGCTAACACTGATCAAGCACTTCTTATATAAAGGCTATAGAAAGGCATGAGGTTTATAGCTGTCTTGAGTTACTTCATTTAATCCTATGGCTACTTTATGAGAAAGACATTATGATTATTTCCATATAGTAAGAAATGACTGACCTCAGATTACCAGCTACTAAGCAAGGAAAGCCACATACCCACAATGGTGTGCCAGGTAATTTCCATAAAGGGGAAGTAAGTACCAAAGCATCGATGTCTTAGGCAGTCCTTTCCTTAAATAAAACAGTATCAGTTTTCTCTATCTTTGAGGAATGTTCAGAAGAACAAATAAACATTATAGGTCAAATTACTTTGCAAATGCTATTGTCTTTAATGTGTCTGTTTTCTTTCAGTCTCTTCAAGTTTCCACTGAAGAAACAATATCTTAAGAATAATGGTACAAAGAAAGTGAGAAAGATGAAAGAATAATCCTTAGGAGTGTTAATATGCTCAGATGTGCTGCTATAAGTGTTTGACAGATAGTCATTTAATCTTGATGATGAACCTCTGAAGGAAGTGCTACTTCTCCATTTTATTGATTGGGAAGCTGAGCCTCAATGAGACAGTAACTTATTTAATATGCCATGCTGATATATAGGAATCGTGGGGTTGAATCAGGCTTTGAAAGCCTTTGCTTTTGATCAGCTGCCCTCAGTTCATGCCGTTCTGGACCTGCACTATTCACTATGCAGCAAATGGAGGCAGATGTCATTTGAAGCAGAATGCTAAGACGACCCCCAAATTCCACTTGCTGTTATACACACGCTTTCTCCCAGTTATTCAGTCAAACTGACTATCTTTGAATTCAAACTCTATTAACTTCTTGCAGTGTGACTGACAAATTTACTTCACTAGTTCTCAGCTTTTTAACCACATCTACATCTTTTAGGGTAAAGAAGAGGAGACTTGGTCTATTACTCCTTCCTGATGACTTGGGCGACAGATTCCAGGTCTGCCATGAAGTTATTGTACACTGTTTAATCCCTGGGCACCTGGGGTCTGGAAACAAGGGAAAGACAGAACCCCGTGTTAGCACATATTCCCATTCTGTTACTCAATGTGTGGAGCACTGCTTGCTTTTCTGCTGCTGAGTAAAGCTGCTATGAAATCATAGGCATTCAGCTCCAACAGGTGTCTGTTAAGTGACAGCAGAGTCATGGTAAAGGACTAATGGTCCTGTCGTTAAGTCCCAACAATGCTTAAGAGGACTTAAAATCTTTGTATGTTACTTTCCACAGAATGTGGGGAAGGCAGGTAAACAAACCCTAAGTCAATAGAAATAACCTATGTAAGCTGTTTAATCATCAGATGAAAGATTAGAACACAGTTCCCTCAGTTACACCAGAAGAATACTTGGTCACCTTTATCAAGGTTTGTGCCAGTTTGATAACTCAATTCTTACTTTGGCATTCATCTTGGGTTGTTGATCCATTATGTTATTTTGTTCTGCTCTGCAAAGCCTTAAAAAAGGAAATGAAATTACTTTGGCTTATTCATATCCACTTTCTGAAAGAAAACGTGTGCCAACTGGAACTCTAATGGGGGCCGTACTTGGAAACAAAGGGTATGTGCCCATTGTCACCCAGGGTCATGGCAGAGAGCTTGGGCCAAAGGGCACAACAGAGGAGGCCTGACCTCCTGGAGACCTGCAAGGAAAGCACTTTCTCCCCTTTTAAAGGGTTATTGAAATACTGTCTACCACTTTACTTTTAAATAGAAGTCGCCTGTTAACACATTATTGCCTTACTGATACGCACAGCACTTGGAGATTAGGTAACTGATCACAGATGGTTTGAGGAAGAGATGAGATTTGTGCTCCAGTTAAAGTCCTGTCAAAACACAAACCAGATATCATTCTCATTTCTGCTTTGCACAGTGACATATTTTGACTCACTGATGTAAAAAAAGGCTGATCAGGCGCCAAGGTTAGTGTATGTTCTGGGGAAAGTTAAGGACCTACTCATGTACTTACAGACTCTCCAGGCTTGCAGTTCCAGTTAAGTCAGGAAATTCAGTTATTTGTGAAGCACCATTCAAAGTCCTAGGAAGAGGAATATATAAATATTACTGGAAGAAGATTCTAGAAAGGAATAATTTAAATTGGCATTTTTAGAGTACTTCAACAGGGAATGCTCATTTGGTTTTCACACCAATCCTGCAAGGTGGGTGAAATGTGTTCTACCAGAGAAACAGATACTTACAGTGTTCTTAGTTCAGGTAAATGTTGAAAAGCAGATCTTCCAACAAACTGAAGAGGGTTGTCATAAAAATGTCTGAAAAAACCCAAATACCAGTGTCTTAGTATAAACTTGAATGATGAATATCTGTTCAAAATTTCAACTAATACACCAAACATTTATATAACTTTGATTATATAATATTATAATACAACATTCCTGATAATTTGGGTCCAGGAAAATCTTGAAAGTGTTTTGATTCATATTATGATATTTTTGGCAAAAAACCCATACTGTACAAAATTTAAAATTTCTGACAGTAAAGTAGATATGAAGAACAGTTATTTAAGTAAAAAAGCAAGTGAACTGACCATATTTAAAAACTTTTTCTGAGCCAGGCGTGGTGGCACATGCTTATAAGGAAGATTGCCATGAGTTCAGGGCCAGCCTGGACTACATAGTGAGTTCGAGTCCAGCCTGAGTTACCTAGTAAGACCTTCAGTTAATTTTTTTTTTTTGCCTTCAAAATCTGTAGAGTTTTCATTTTGTGGCAAAGAGGTAATTTAAGGTGCTAGCAATTGTTATTATTAAAGAAAATAAAATTAATCTACTGAGGTTATATCTTTCAGTCAAATATTGCATAATATCCATGTGGGTCTCTTAAAATTATTTAAGAAGAAATAAGTTACTTGAAGTTCTTCTCTCAGAATTTTTTGACTTAATTAATTGTGTTAAAATGTTAGGCCATACTAGAACTTATAGACTATTCTGTTTTGGAGTTATTTTCAAGGTAGATGAAGCGTGTTTGAATTCCCTGGTCAGTGGAGACCCTCATATGCATCTTAGCTGACGTGTCCTGCTAGTCTAATTAAATTTAGCAAATTTATGGGGTTTTACTATGCTCAAAGTACGAAGGTAGCTATTATGAGGATTTAAAGACTTATTTTTTAAACAAACTGTCATTGGGTATCTACTTTGTCTCAGGCATTGTTCTAGATATTAGGAGTATGAAGAGGAATGATAAAATGGTCCACCCTTAAAAGAGCTTGGAATTGATTCGGATTAAACAAAGAACTAACAGCATACTGCCTTTTATTTGACAGAGTACGTCTATATATCTGTATCTGTTTCAACTGGTCCATGAAGCAATTTTGACATATAGTGTTCTTACTTTTGGAGGAGAAAATTGAGGCTTAGCTTGGAAAGCTCATTACTCTAGAGCCTCAATCTTTTTACTTGTTATACTGAGATAACAATTCTTAGTTGTAGGACTCATGTAAGAATTAAAACAACTAATACAAGTGAAAATCTATCAGTTCCTAGAATGTAGGTATTACACAATACACGTGTGTCCTCTTCTGTCCTCTTATTCTTTGATCCTTCCTTTCCCTTGAGATTAGAGAATGAGTAAGTGAAAGAGCTGGAATTGAAATATATGCTTTAGAATTTAAAAATGGGATTTTCTTCACAATGTTACCTTATCCTTTGGGCACGCTATATGCATGTACAGGTACAAATGTATGGACACTGGACTAGTATGAATATACATACTTGCATGCATAGGGGAGAAATATTGCCAGTACAAATAAGGACTTCTGTGGTTGTCAGGACAGAATTGTTTCATAGGTTCAGGTGAGATTAAGAAAACCTTTATGACATGGAAGAAAAGGGACCCAGAAGACAGAATTTCAACCAGCATAATGAGAGGACAGAATCACAGGAACAAATTAAATAAACAGCTTCTGTGAACATATCTTTACAGCCCTGTGGAAGCAGATGGAGGTCAGCCTCCTCCAACTGGTAAAAACTGAGAAGTAACAGCTGGCAGAGGCATGAAAAGAGGACATTATGGGAAGTGCAGAGGTGGCTGACAGGACACAGAGGCATGCACAGAGGTACGTGTGGGGCATGTGGGGTGTGTGGAAGAGGCAGGTAATGAGGAGTTGGAGGTAAATGCAGGTGCAAAGAGGCAGTTCCAGAAAGTGGCCAACACTATGGGAGAGTGAATAGAAGCTTAATTATCTGTGAGGGGCTGTTAGCCTGCCTCAGGACCTATTAGCATGCCAAAAGAGTAATTAAAAACCAGGCCCAAGGCAGCAAGGGAAATGCAGCAAAGGCAACGCAATTTGCCAAGCTCTTAATATGTAAATACTCTCTAATGAAGACTAATGTTTCTTGGTCAGAATCTTTTAAACAAACATTTGTCAAAATATTGCCAGCATTTCAGAAATGATGAATGTTTTTGCTTGTTCCTTTACAACAAATGCCACATGGTTCCAGAAAACCTTTGATCCATTGGCACAGGACAAATATTTGTCAAGAAATGCCCCTAATGTTCAAAAGTTATCCTTATTCTCCTGCACTGACTGTGGGCTAATACCATGCTGCAAACCTACCTCAAGCAGGTGTCTTTAATGGGTCAGCCTAATCAGTGTGTATTTTATCTTCCTCTATGTCTAACATCAATCTGTTCATGCTAAATATAAGACAGAAATTTAGATATACTTTGTAATTATAACTAATTTGTTGCTATTTTATGATGTAAAAGTTCTTAGATACTCCTTTTTAGAATATATAACTTTTTTCGAGTGATATCCTAGTTTCTATAAATGTGACTCAACTGTGGCTTGGTAATAGACAGAGACATACCATAAAACAGTATTTCTTCCACACTACTCCATACCAATTTAAACAGGGTCTATTGTTTGTATAAAGTAATTTTTATTTCTAGTACTCTTGAGTTGAAATCATGAATGACAATGTCACCTTCACATTGCTGACCTAAAATTCAGTTTATTTCTTAGAAAACAAAGATAACTATAAGCATTTACAAATGTAATTGCAAAATGCAACAAGACATCTGAAAATACCAGATATAATGCAATATATACTGGAGATCTTAAAAAAAAGTTTTAAAAATACTTGTTCAGTGCTCAGTTGAAACCTGCCAAATATCTCCAAGCATGAGTCTCTGTACAGATTATTACTATGGCTGAGAAAGAATTCAGGCAAATATAGAACATTCACTGCTTTATACTTATAAATGCAATATACCCTGTGCATCAGGATGCATGAATTTAAGAATACTTTGGTTACTTACATTGTAATAAGAGAAGGGTTGCCTGCAAATGCTTTCTCAGGTATTGACCTGATATGGTTGCTATGAAATCCTCTAGAAAGAGAGGGGAAAAAATGTATAGAAAATCACGTGTGGGTAAAATTATTTACTAGCCCAGCCCATATCCCACTGTGGTAACTATCAGCACCTTTAGTAACCAGAGGACAAAATTAACTTCCTTTCTCCTTAAAACTGTGGTATCCTCATTCACTCTCAAGGAAAAAGACAAGGAATGGAGAGTCTGTAGTTGTGCTTTTGCAGAAATGTATGATCTAATGTAATAAAAAGCAAATGCATATGTCAATACCCAGCAGAGCCTAAGGAGTGGAAGCTATCTTTGGAGAAAGGTTTAGGACCACCCCTCCTTACCCCATTTGGAGCTAGGAGAGAAAACTGACTTAAATTGGAGTGAAGTTGAGATTTAAGTAATCTTCTTATGAGGACAGACTTTCCTGAATTAAAGTCTGTAATAATAAATTGATTCTCATCTGTCAGGGTAATTCTGTCTGAATGGCACAAGACCAGAGCCAGTGATCTCCGGGTCTTTTGTGGCCATATGAGATGAGTGGTGTCCTAAACCCATGCAAAGAAGACCTTCCAATAGAGCCCTGTGTGGTTTTCTGAGGCAGTCTGCTGAAGGCTTTTTTGTTTAAACAAGCTACCCTGTCCACCTTCTTTGGCTGTGTGTCTTATTTCTCACTGCCAGGGGAAGTTTCTAGGTTTATTTTCCTTTTAAGTGTTAGAACATCACCTCTATATATTATGCTACATTGTTTAGATACAAGGAAAAGCTAATTAATTCTATCATCTATAAGATATACATGTTTAATGGCTGAGAGTCAGCTTTCTCTTGGTATACTTGTATTTTTAAAAATTAAATAAGGCTCATGTAACATTTAAGGAATATTGTGAAAAATGAAATGTATATAAAGGTATCTAGCATTATATAAAGCGCATATAACTCCATTCACCTAGTTCTACATTATGCAAGCTAGAAGAGTTTGGTTTCTTAGAAATGCTCTGCAATAACTGAATTTAATTATAGTCCTACAATCTATAATATATATATATATATATATATATATATATATATATATATATGTTAGGGGAATGTGTATGCCTTAGAAAAAGATACAGTAATATTGCTTAGAGACTTACAAACTATCTTTAAACATATATAGACAAGTTATTCATCATAAATTAAAACTAACATTTGCTGGTGATAATAAATTAAAATACGCTTCAAGCGCACTTTTTAACCATTATTTAAATAAACTTTAAAAATTTTCCTTTAAGTCATGTTATTTATAACAATCACATATATGTTCAAAATAATTCACAAAGTAAAGTTCTTCTATGAAAACTGTCCTAACTACTTACAGTTCCTTAAGGTTGGCGAGTGTCCTGATTGCAATGGGAAATTCATCAAGGTTATTGTAATTTAAATCTCTGAAAATGAGTAAATAGTATTTTCAGTTAAAAACTCACATCTATAAAGTCTACAGTAAGATAACATGCTATTCCAAGGGACCTGTATCACCAGTTCTACTTTCTCTTCTTTTCAGAGAGGTTTCTTGACTTACCAACCACCAACACTCCAGAAGTATTTGCATTAAAATGGTCACAATACTGATCAGGAGAAACTTCAAAGCTCAATGGCACTGGAGCATTTAAAACAGGGAGGGGCATGCAGTTAACTTCCCAGTAGGAGGGTCGCTCGCTTGGTGGGTGTTGACCACTTGCTGTAGCTCTTTCTCTGAATTTGGTTCACTACATTGCCAGCTTATGCTTGCACTCCTGAGGCTCTGGGACTATATTCCCTTTCTTTTTCTCTCCTTCCCTTCTGGGAGATAGGATACCTTAGGGGGCTTCATTATTCCTGACTCCTGTGGACAGCCTGTGTGTCTCTCAGTTTGAAGTCCTGGATGAGACTTGCTTCTGGAGAGGTTTATGTGACAGAGTACTTAGGAAGCACATCTGGTCTAGAATTTTCTCAAATCAAAAGTAGTGGGTCCACATCAGATCATGTTTTCTGTGAGGTCAAGCTCTATATTGTCCCTTCACATACACAGAAGGGAGGGTCAGACAATCATTAATTTATGTCTATTATAACACCAATAGCTTTTCAAATGCTATTACTCCACATTATATCTACAACTTCATATGAAAAAGTAATTGTCTTCTGTTCTCTGGGAATGGCAGATTTTCCAGATGACACAGAAAAACCTTTTGGTCAGGCAATCACATATGGTTAGATCTTCCTCTGTGAAAAGAATTGCTATTTAATTTTAAGAGGATGATAATTTGACTGAGTTAAACATGAATCAAAATTCCTACTTGTCTGGCACAGACCATCTTTAAGCTGTACCTCAGGCAGGAAACTCATGTCTTTTGTGGACATAAATTTTCTTCCTGTTTGTAAATCTCTCCAGATGCTCTGTTCTGATTAAATGAGAATTGGACCCTTATAAATTACTTGGATTTCTAGTGAGGGAAAGGAAGAGATTGGAAATAACCAATTTACTGATCCCCTGTATCCTTGGGCAAGATGGAAAGAGACAATAAGATACATATGAATGCTGCCCTGAAATATTTTGCCTTATGGCATTTATATGCAAGCCTAGGTCAGAGATGAACTTTTTAAAGACAAATGTCCAAATTGCAACCCAAAACCTACTGATTTATCCTCAAGTGCCAACCCTGCAATTAAATCTGAATACTGAGATTTTATTTTAGAAAACACAACTCATACCTTAACATCTTTTGTTTTAAAACAAAAACAAACAAACAAAAAACCAAATGTGTCATGGGTTCCTTACCACTGGCTCAGGGCCTTATCTAGGATTGGGGAAAAAAACTATTTATGGAACTATCCAAAGCCCATATTTTGGGCAACCCACTCGGGACCCTTTCTGTCTCTCTCTCAGACAGAAGCTTTCTTTTCCTCAATAAATATATTCTGCTCTTAAACAAAACAAAACAAAACAAAACAAAAAAAAACAAAATAGCCATCATGGTGGCACACTCCTACAATTCCAGCACTTGGGAAGCTGAGGCAGGAGAATCCTCTGCAAGTTGGACACCAGCTGGGGTAAATTGAGCCCAAGGTCAGCCCGAACTGCATACTGAGACTCTGTCTCAAAAAGACAAAAAACCAAATCACAAAGCCCATATTTGTTGTTGTTCTTCCTATGGTTCTTTTGAAAAGATTTTACTTGTTGAGATTGCCCACACCAGTAAGGGAGTTCTAATTTTCCCTAGCTACTGATGGAAACTGTTTGCCCATGCCATTAAGATGACATCAAGGTCTTGCCTGGATAAGTTCCTCTTATACCCAGAAGAAAACAAAGTGACTTAAGGAAAGCTGTTTGTGTTTATATGCATCAAGGACAACATCAGACAGCAATTACTGTGGTTAGAAGATAAACTGACCATGTACAAATCACTAAACTCTGGATGTAAATGAACAATCGTTTCCAAACATGGGAGAAGTCAATTTTGGTGCTGTGCTTCTGCAGTTCTGGTTGGAGGCAGCATTATAGATCCTGTGACCTTGTCAGTCTGTTCTACTTGAATGTTAAAAATGTCAGGATGGGGATGGAGGTATCATTGCAACCACCTTCCTCTGCCAGCATACTCAGGGCTGTCTGCATCAGTCTACCTCTTCCATTCAGCAGGGCAGCAGAGATAGCTCCTCCCCTGGAAAAGGCAAAGACCCTAGAGCCGCCCAGGGGAGCCTCCCCACCTTGGCCTTGAGGGAGGGTCTAGCTAACTGAACTCATTTTTATCATCAGTACCAGCTAAGAACTGAAATTTTGACCTATTTTTTTGAAATAAGATCCAAAGGTAAACATGGATTTCAGAATCGGACTAGAGAAGAAAACAAATCCAAACTATGCTGCCGATCAGATATGTAATATTGACAGAATATCTTACTTTTACTAGAGCCTATAATAGAACTGTAACATTCGTTCTCCTAGGATGTTTATAAAATTATTAGAACAGTGTATACTATGTCCTCAGTGCAACAGCTGGTTATAAAAATGATAAATGATAGCTATTATCACTTTTTAGTCCTTTGAATTTTTTAACACCAGTGTTCTCTATTTCCTAATAAAATGCCTGTTTCCACCTCAGAGTGGAGACTCAAGTGTGTATCTAGTCTACCTCTTCTCATGAGGACCCAACTCATGAATACCGTGACTTAGTAACAATATGCAATTGATCCTTGACATAGAATACACAAATGTAAGCCAACAGTCACTGCTTAGAAGAAACATTTAACTTAAGAGATATGCTAATTATCACTTTCATTAGATTAAAATGAAATCTCAGTGTCACAGTTTAGCTATCTGTGTGTGTGTGTGTGTGTGTGTGTGTGTGTAGACAGAACCACTGTAAACATGTTTAAAACTCAGTCAATTAACCAAACCAAATAGAAAGTCTGGCTTAAAGGCTATTTTGATTCCTTCAGAATATTCATGAAAACACTGAGAAAAAGGGAAACAAATAAAAGGTCACTCACAGAGTCTCTAGGCTGTGGAGCCCATCAAAGCATTTCTTTCCCAGGGAGTGAATTCTATTGTTATGGAGATGCCTGCAGGAGAACATTACCAACAGTCATAAGGCACTGCACACAGCAGATTTCAGCCCATCATTCTGACTTCTTAAATCCAATGAAACATACTACAGAAAGCACTGGTCATAGGTAATATATATATATATATATATATATATATATATAATCATTACAATATATATAATATTAGGTATTATATATATATAATACCTATATATAATATATATTATATACTTTAAAAGTATATATTACTTTTAAAGTATACAATAAAAGTATAAATAAATTATACAATATAAAGTATTCATTACCTATGACCAGTGCGTCATAGCCTCATTCACTCATACCATAGATGATTCTATACCATGAATTTAAAAGACAATCATAGCTGTCTTGTTTGGGTTTGAGGTATCTGGGAGTACATAATAACCTGAACAACATGACTGATACAAGTAAATTCAGGTTTTTCTGCATATTTTCCAATATAGTTTATTTGGCATGACTAGAATGTAGAAGGCTAAAGGAGATAATGACCATCCCTGAGACACGGAAACTAAAGGAAAGATGACAGGTGGACTCAGCACATTTTCTATTAAAAATGAAGGCTTATAACGGCTACATTCCCAGTGTTGGGCCACAGGTCGACAGGAAACAACGATTTCAGTTACAGGGAATGGTGACCAGATTTTTTGACTGCCCATGAAGATTAGTTATCTTGACACAGTATTAATATGTATAATTATCATCTTTGGCTCAACTAGTAAGTCAGTTAGGCCAAAGCGACTGAGAACAGCTGTGTATACAACTGAAAACTGGACCAGTTCCCGATGGGATTTTGGAAAATGGGTTTAAGGGGGACAAGGTGAAAAAGGATAGCTGAATCTCTGCAAATACATTCCTCTACTGGAGAAAAAACATTAAAATATATACCCAATTTCTGGTAAATCAGTTGCATTATCTTTATAAGTGAAATTCAGTATTGATACTTGTTAATATCCCCTGACCTTTTTCTCTTTTCAGAAGAAGATATTTGTTTTAATAAATCCACTTTAGTTTTATTTGATATCTATGTACATTCATAAGGGATCTTCTACATGCCACAGATAAGGGAGAGAACTGAAGGGAATCTAAAAAGATGGATAAGATACTGATCAGTCCTCAAAGAAATACACGCTACCCCTTTGGAAGAGGCAGACCTGTAATCAAATGCATTTACAAACTGGGATGATAAAAGGCAGCGAGTGAGTTGGTGGGCGTGGAGCAGAGGGAGAAATAGTGCAGAAGCTTCCTGGAACTTCCAAAGGGTTGTGGTTTTGGCTTTTAAAAGTCCCCAAAGTCCGGTAGACTACAGCTTTGTTCACTACTCTGTGGTAACGTTGGGAGGCTGAAGAAGTTAGGTCAGGGGAGGTACTCCCATTCCAGGAAGCAGATGCTGGGATCGACACTCTTGCTTTCTCTGATTCTTTTGCTTTCCAGCTGCCATGCAATGAGCAGATTTGCTCAACTATGTGCTGCTTGCCATGGTGTTTTACCTCATTGCAGGCTCAAAAGCAATGAGACAAAAGACCAGGGGCTGAAACCTCTGAAACCAGGATCCAAAATAAGTCTTTCCTACTTTAAATTGTTTATCTCAAGTATTTTGTCACAGTGACAGAAAGCTAACACGCGAAGCAAACTGACAGCCTTTCAAGTGGCAGCTATTTTCTTATTTAAGCCTAATTGGCTATTCTGATACACACATGAAAGCCTGTTGTCTCAGTCTTTTTTTTTTTTTTTTTGTACCAGGTATCAAACTCTGGACCTTGTGCTTGCCAGGCAGATGCTGAGCTGCTGTGCTATATCCCAGGGGGGCCCTGTTGCCTCAATCTTAAAAAAGACTGATTTTTTCAAATTTTACTTATTTAAGAATCATTTGAATTTACTAAAACAGTGTAATCTAGACCTAAAAGGAATAAAAGGTGCACAAATACGTGACTCAAGAAAAAAAGGTGAGGTGGGGGAGGCATGGGGATTTAGGTCAGTGGTGCAGTGCCTGCCAGGCAAGTGTGAGGCCCTGAGTTTGATTGCCGGTACTCCCCATTCCCCAAAAAACATCAAATGCATTACTCACTGTCAATAGTCAGTTTTCCTATCTCTTTCCTTAGCTCAAGAAGTACTTATTGGATATTATTAATACTTATTATTATTAAATAATAAATATGCTTTTCAATTTGACCTGAACTTTGTTATTAAAAAAATCAAAGAATTTTTACGAACTGTACTAACTGTACTGTACAGTGATTCCTTGTACAATATACAATGGGCTCCACAAAAGCAGAGGTCATACTTCATTATCTTTGTGTGCCAGGCAGTGTTTGGCATTTGTCAGGTACTTGATAAATGTTTAAGTCATTTGCACAATTGGAGCGTTTGTAAGTCATTTTGGGGAGGGACTCAGCGAGTTTTCCTTCCTTAAAATGTCTCCATTAAAGCTCTGAAGAGCTAGCACTTTAAGGCCAAGGTTTTGAAGGCCTTATGTTTAAGGCCAATGAATTTAGAAACTGTTAAAAGAGAACACAAAATCAATAAAACTTACAGAACTACCAAGCTGGAGAGGTTTCCAAAGGCATAATCTGGTATGTGGTGTATTTTGTTCAGGGCCAAGGTCATGGCTTGCAATGCTGATAAACTTCTGAAAGCCTGGACAGGGATTTCCGTCAAAGCGTTGTCATCCAGCCACAGGTGCCTCAGAGAATGCAGGCCACTGAAGCAGCTGGGTGGCACATAGCTGATGTGGTTGGCATCCAGACGCCTGTGGAAGCAAGCAAGCAAGAATGGAAGGGAGAGCAAAGTCCAGGCAAAAGATGGACGTTGTAGAAAGACTCTCCAGATGTTTTACAAGAGTAAAACACAGCTTGGGGGGGGGGGGGGCCTCAGGATCCCTGACATGTGGAGCTTCTTACTCTCCTGATGGCTTCTCCTTCTCGTTCATGGGTAGTGATCTGCACACTTTCTTTCTTGAACCTAACAAATAGACTTCCTTTTTCCTTTTCCCTGTTCCGAGTTAATGAATGTCTACCTTGAACATACTAACCACGCTGATCTACTACTAGTGTATTCCACAAGTTCTGGGAAAAGTCGACTTCAGTATTTGAAGGGAACCAAATAATTTTTAAAGCCTGTTTTTAGATATGTGTCAGAGGAAGGAGAAGCAGCCCTCCCTTCCCCTTACTATAGTGCCAAAGAACCTAATACAGACTGGCTTTCTTGCTCATCTTAGCCTTTGCTTTGGGCAGATGTTTGTCCTAATGACACTTTAAATGAATAATAAAATTAATGGCTTTTCAGCTTTTCTCACACTTTGTTCTTTTCCAGTGGGAAAATACATCTAAAAATGGGTATAGTCAGGGGCAGTTGCAGCTTTGGAGCCAGCAGAGGGAGTGCAATACGTTTATTTTATCCCAGTACAATATAAATAGCAGCTATAGTTATAATGCCTTTACTATACTCATGTAAGTGGCAAAACTCACACGGTTTAACATTTTCTGTGAAGTGCGTGAACAACAGAACCCCCATTGTTCATCGCTGCTTCAATCTGTTTTTAAGACTCACACATTTGTGTGCATTTTCAAAGCTAGGATTAAAAAAAATAAGTTGCATTTTAAGCAGTCCCTGTATTAGGAAGGATTAGAGAATCATGAGAGGATTCTGAAAAATGTTTTTGGAAATGTTTAAGACTAAACAGATGCCGGAAGTACACCAGGATCACAAAATAATCTCTCGCAAACCAAATTTAAATAGTTTAGAAATAGAATTCTCTGTGGTAGCAAAGCTAATCTCTCTGGAAAGCGGCTCCCTGACTTTTGGTCACATATGTCATTCTCGTCATTCTTTGGTTCCTACTTCTATCAACTGCATGGGAACAACGATGCCTTAAGACCTCTGGGCTGAGTTTTGGTAAAAATTGAGTTAAGATCATTTGGAATGAACTTTAAAAGTTGGGTGTGTTAGCGCATACACACTTAAGTTTCCAGGAGAGCAGCTGTTATTGTAGGCAGCAGCAGCAACAAACAAACAAACAAACAAATGAACTGGACACGTTTAAGGAAACTCAGTGCTATCTCTTCTCCCTTCTCCAGCTTGACCCAGGTTCAAACATGGTACCTTCTCACTGGGGAACGTGGAGGGGATCTTTTTTTCTTTTTCTTGTACCAGGAATACAACTCGTCCTCATGCTTGCCAGGCAGGTGCCGTGCCACCGGGCTGTATCCCCGGCCAAGGGGATCATTTTTGTTTTACTAACAGAAAAGCACATATATAACTCCTTCTTAACTACTGCTCTAACTAAAAATTTGAAACTCTATAACTCTGCAGTATACACTTCTGAGTTTCAGTTGATGTAGAGTCTGATGTTTGCCAGTTGCTTATGCGTCAAAATAAGTGGCTCCTAAGTGTCTAGAAAATGAAAACCTTAAAGCTCAAGGCAAATCTTGAGGCACATTTATAGAAAAGGCTCTTTCACTGTTGATGAGAGTTTTTTTTTTTTTGTTTTTTTGGTTTTTTTTTTTTGTCTTTTTCCTTTTTATCGGTACCAGGGATCGAACTCATGACTGCCTGCTTGCAAGGCAGGCACTTATGCCACTGAACTAAATCCCCAGCCCCAAGCCTCTTTCACTGTTAACTGTAGGCTTATTTTCTTTGATATTTTAAGTTGCTACCAATGTGAAATGGCCCTGATATCACTTCCTTATGTTAATACATCTATTGCTCTGGACAGATATCTCAGATATCTTTTTTTTGTTATTGAACTACTGGGGATTGAACCAAGGGAATGTCAACCTTGATCTGTAGCCCTTTTTATTTTTTTCAATAGAGACAGGGATTTCTAAGTTTCCCAGACTGGCCTTGAAATCACCATCTTTCTGCTGTATCCTTCCAAGTAGCTGAGACTGTAAGAATGCATCATCAGGCCTGACTGGACAGATATCTTTTATGAATCACATTTTTTTCCTTACAAGAGAAGGTGAAATATAGCCTCTCTACCACGTTATCTCACAGAAAATTGCTATCTGAAGTGAAATGAATGAGTCAGATCAATTATTTAGTCCTAACACTCTAACTATAAATTCTTCACAGCCTAGAACTTCAGGTATCCTGAGTGCAGAATTAAAATGTCCTTCTAATTACATTTTTTTTTGGTACCAGGGATCAAACTCATGACCTTATGCATGCCAAGCAGGTACTTAATGCCACTGAGCTAAATCCCCAGCAACTTTTTTTCATGTAAGAAGTTTGCAATAAGGTACACTTCTAAATGTGATATTTTAAAGTCTATATTCACCTGGCTTCAGAAGTCCCAACCTAATTTTCAGAGTGGAACATTGTTCATATTCAAGGGTATTATCTGATGTAATCTTCTCCTAGCTTTATTAAAGTCCAATTCACAAATAAAAGTTGTATACAATGTGATGTGTTGATGTATGGATACATAGTAAAATGATTAACTCAAGCCAATTAACCTATCTATTATCTTTCACACTAATCATTCTTTTGTGGTATGTTTAGGATCTAATCTCTTAGCAATTTTCAAGTATACAATAAATTATTATGGGTACCACGCTGTATCATAGATCTCCCAAACCTGTTCATGTTGTCTGAGACTTTACACCTTTTGGTCAACATCTCCCCATTCTCTCTGTTAATTTGCCAACTGCTGTCAACTATTATTCTACTGTCTTTTATATCTGATTTAACCTTAATAGGACATCCCAAGGCTATTCTACCAGGGTGGCTATTCATACAGGTGGTTCTTACAGAGCAAGGTTAAAACTGTGGACATAGCAATCGGCAGGGTACAAATTGTGCCTATTCAGTGAATAAACAAAGAACTTGTATTGGGTCAATCTGATCTTTTCAGGCAGCTGGAATTCTCTATTCATACACTTGAAAATGGAATATTTAAACTGTGAAGTGTAAGATAAACATCACTGCCCAGTACAAGAAAACACACATAAAATATGATTCAATTATATACTTTATTATCAAAATCGAAAAAGATGACATTCTATAACTCCACTTTTTACATTGTTACAGTATTTCCATTTCAAGCCCTTTCAAGTTACAAAGGGAATGTGTGCATGGGCAGTTCAGGATCCAAATTAGTACAGAGATTTTGGGAGGTGCCAAGCTCAGATTACTGTAGCAGCTATGGGGCCATGGACAAATCAAGAAATCTCAGCTTTAACAACTGTAAAATAGGAGTACCATCTCTCTAGTTTGTAGGGTTATGCTGTACAACAGGGGTTGTAAATAGAAAGTGCTCTAATGATTCTAAATTACTTTTATCTGAAATAGTTTAACAATTTTGCTTTTAACCACTAGATGATTAAGAAAAAGAGGTAAACTCAAATTTGCTGGGGTAACTTGACAAAAACAACTGTCACAATGTCAGTGAGTATGTTTTGAGAAAAATAGGATGTTCATTTTGTTTCTTATAAGAGAAATAAGAGGTGTGTGCAATTAAACTTAATCAGTTTTTAGTATTATTGTGATACACGTAGGTGGATATGTATGTACCTACATATAGTATGTTATATCTAGGTTCACGAATACTTGTAGAACAATTCGGTTTGAAAATAAAAGGTTTGGCAAAATTCTGAGTGGAAACTCTGTATTGGGTGAGAAACAACCATAGCCATGTCTCTGAACAAACACAAATGTGGCTATCTTCCCCCACACTGTGGAACAAATTAAATCTGTGAACTGAGGCACCACTGTGTGTACACACATGTAGAGTATGTACCAGCAAAGTTGTCATGTATTACGGAACATAACATTTTCATTTGGAAGGCAAAGGAAAAGTGGTGATGTGTGGTAGGTGGTACATTCTCAGAGAACATTCTTAGCTATGACCTTAGCATTTGCATGTCCATCACAATGTGACAGAGGCAGAACAAAACCCCAGTGCAGTTACGCACAGTTAAATAAAACACTTAAACACAGTGAGATTGGCCTTGCTTTCAATTCAGACAAATCTTTTAATTATGATCTTGAAATACCATCTGAAAAGTGACCCCTATTTAGGAAATTGCACCCATTTTATGCTTTTTATGTTTATGAGAGTTTATGGTGAAATCATGGATTTTATCTTGTTTCTTCCATTACCTATGACCACCCACAATACACACACAGAAAACTGGAAAACACATTGGAGTAGAAGAATTAAGACAAATTTAAGACAAAACTTCCAGTTTCTTGAGGTTTGGGGGACTATGTATTTTTTAATGTCTCTATGGGTCAGTTTTCACATCTATAAAGTCACAGCATGTTACAGAATTATTGTGGGAATTAAGTGAGAAAACATACAGAGATGTATTTTGAAAACAATATTCTAAGGATGATAGGCTTTATTATGTAAGTAAAAACTTTAGATTTAGGGGTTGATATAATATTTTCCACCTCTAAAATTTTTCCTTATTCTTTCTATAGTTTCTTACCCCTTGAAAATTTCATATTTTTCTGTAGAGTGTGACTTTTTATGGCATATGGGCTACCAGTGCAGCTGATTCTCCACTTATCTAACATCTGATAATGTGTATGCTCAGTAGCTATGCTGCACATTTTGTTGTGTGTTATAGCAAAGCTTCCCTCACAGAGAAAAGGAGACACACAGATTTTTCGTGGTAGGCCTGCCAAAGGATAACTGATGCCTAAAAGGCTAGAATGGCCAAGGAGAAATATGATAATATCTGTTGCAGAACAGAATTCTTATTAAGTATGAATCCCTGCAAAGTTACTTAGAGGGCTACAACT